GCTGAGGACTGCAAACAAATACTCAACATAAGCCTCACAAACAGGCAGTTTTGCGGACACCTCCAGGAAGCTGTAGACAAACAACTGGCTGGAGGAAGCTTTTTAGCTACCGAGTACAAGGGCACTTGGTTTCTGACTGGTATCCTGGGATCCTGGCCACTAGAAGACACTGACTGGGAAACATTTCTATTCACTAACACCGCGAGGTATATGATATGGTTTAAACAAAAAATGAAATAAGACACAAACACAACCAACCCTCCAGCACCAAACCCCTACCAAACACTGCAAAGAAACATTTGGATGCAGCCAGTACCCTCATTTGACTCTCTATCGCAATGTGCAGCAATGGAAGTTGCAACAATTATATGTATATAGCTCCAATTCATACAGAAAAGCCTGTTTGTCTTTCCTTCTTCTGTTGACACACAGTACTGTGAAAGTCACGATGTGGTAAACCTAGTTATTTTACTAAAAACTGACTGAACTTTAAGTTTCCTAGAACTGTTCATCCTAAAACTCAAAAAGCATTGATGTTTTTCTGGGATTTTAAATGTTGCTAGAAGGAAATGAGTCTTTTTAATTCTTGTTACACTGAGGTTTGATTCAGCAAATTCATATTCTTATTTTAGCATCCATACAAGTGAAACTTATGAAGACCAGGGGAACTTCAAGCCTTTAAATGTCTATGTTTATGTAGGACTTGACACTCTCATCGCACTAAAAAATGCTTCCCTTCATACATGGCACCTGTGTTTTCCCTTATGAATCATGTCCACATCAGTTAGTGGGTAAAATAAAACCCAACTCTCAAAGAGGGGAAAAAATGTTTTATTTCCTTTAAAAATTAATTTTAAAAGCCCAAACCTACCATCCCATCGCTATGGACAAAGTTATGTTGTACTACCCCCAAACAAACAAAACCCTCAAGGTAGTAACACTTAAAATAATGGATCCAGTGGCAGTTTTTTCCCCCAGACACAGAATAAAGCAGAGTATGGGTAAGTTACTTAGATAAGCTTTTGTTCATCACAATGAAAATGAAACAAAATTTTACCAGAATCAAAAAAACCCAAACCCATCTGTGGGCACCTAAAGACAAAAATCCCACATTTACTTGAACCCGTAAGTATCACTGACACAGTAAAGCTTTTAATTGTCAAGCACTTCCCTAGTTTTTAAGGGAATGCTTGAAGAGAGTATTTAATACCAGCAAGATTATTGAAGAGACTTTAAAGAAGTGGAAACCGTGAAAGAAAACATCATATCCACTCTGAAGAATGGATTAACACAAGTAACAAAGGATGATACTTCTCCTCTCTGAAAGAGAAATGCAGAAATAGTAACACAAAGTACTTTATAAAAGCTTTAAGTGGTTTGAAAGGAATTTGGAATGCTTTGCTTTATCTCCTCATGAAATACTTTGAATGATCTAGAAAGCCTGCGGAAACTATAATTGAAAAGTTAGTATTTCATTCCAACACACTTTGTAACACTGGCAGCCTTGGTCATTCTGGGAAAGGAGCCACAAACAGTTCCTGGTATTCCAGTCCTGGACACGAACCAGGTCATTTACAATGTTCCCGGGGCAACTAGGAGCAGCTCCACTGGGCAAGCTGAGTATCTGAAAAGTACTTGCATGGATAAGATGCAATACTCAACACACTGTTGACAGCGGAGGAAACGGGTTCTGCTTACTGACCACAAGCTTTTGATGCTGATGAGATATATAGCCTTTAATGTGACCCTGGCAGGAGAAGAAAAAGACAGTATTAGTACTGGAAGCTGGTAACACAACGCCTATAATGTCAGCTGCCTTCAGCCTACATCAAGCGAAGCTGTGTGTATATAATCAATCACCACTGTGCTACGGTACTTAGTATCTGTAAGGATCCGATTTACGTAAGTGGATCAACTCACAGAGTAAGCAGAAAGTTGGAACGGTAATCATGTTTGGGTACTAATGGTGCTGTCAGACCGAGAGCCCGTTCCCAGGGCCCCCTACTGGTCTGCTTACATTTCCCTGAGGAGACAGAGTTCTACAGAAGTGTTTCTACGTTTACTCTTGCTCACTTTAAAAATGAGGATTTTAATTAATCACTGTTCCAAACCTAACAGACTAAATGACATAGTACTTCCTTTTCAGACATGTAGTGTTATAACACTGAAAGAAATCTTCCAGTCACCTCATCCCACCCTCTGTTACTCCAAGACCAAACCAAATAATCTGTTTTAGAAAGAGGAGTGGTTCAGTTTTTTGCTCACACAGAAATGCTGCTCTAAAACCTCCAATTTATTAGAAATCTCTCGATTTCAAGCCTTTATCTGTTCATGAGTAGTTGAGATCCATTTAGAGTAAAAGACAAAATGTGAAACAAAACCAAAGAAATCTGGTTTTAATTTCTTCGAATGTTAGAATGTCAAGAGTCTCCTACTTCAAATGCAGAAGAACAACTCCCTTTTGGTCCCAGTTACAATTTTGTATTTTCAAATCAGTATTTATGCATATATAGAAATGTCACTACTGGATTTGTAATGTAAAATTCAACTTCAGTTTTAACCAATTCCTGCAAAAGAGGCAGGAACTAGAGGAACTCCTCAGGGCAAATGAAAACATTTCACTTGGGGCACAAGTGAATCAACTTTTTTACACAAGAAAACCTGGGGTTACTGATGTTTTTTTGTAATGAACTTTTATTCTCTACCTAATATTTTTTACTGTCTGAAGTCTGGAAGGACCAAACAACAAGTGGTTAGCACATACCATATATATAAGGTTAGCTAAAATGCACTGGACTTCATCAATATCAACATCATCTACTTGCATGAATTTCAGGGCAAACAGAAAGGCATCTAGAGACAGCTGATGGGTTTTGAGTAGTAAATATCTGAAAGAAACAACAGAAAAAAATCTGTTATTGAGAAAAAATCACTTAAAAATTCTGGTTCTTAGAAAAATGGCCTTTCTACAATAAATTCACTTTAACAGGAATTCAGCTCTCTCAGAGAGAACTAAGGAGCATATAAATTTTTATCTCAGTCCTAGGTGAAACCATATGAAATCTGCTTTTGCAAAAATGTAGTTTTTGTTACGCTTACACTTTCTTAAAAAGATTTCTGTACGTGATGATTTTCAGCTTCTCAAGGATAAGAAAGATTCCACATCGAATAAAGAAGGTCTCATGCTTTGTCAGAGCATCGTTCAGTAGGAGAAGATTGCCTTCACTACAAGGATGAAGAAATGAAAACATGAGAAGGTCTCACGCAAACAAGAAAAGGAATTGTCTGACTTGGTAGGAATATCCCTCCCCTGCCTTCCTCAATCATCCCAAATAAATACCTTTTACTTAATACTTGTTGAACTAACACACAACACAATAAAATAATCATCATACCTCACAGCCTTTGTTACTTCAGCAAACTGCATAAGGTCATACTTTTTTAAGAGCTGAACTGTTGGCATATGGCCCTGAAAAATAAACAGTTGCCAAGTTTTCCAGGATAAAGCCAAATGCGTTTTAAACGAAATCTAGTAAGCAATCAAAACATTCGTTAGAGAAAAAGACAAATGTTTAACCACTTTTTTTTTTGCTACAGAACAAGAGGTGAATAAAAGTATTTGTAAGACAACGCCCTTGCCCCCACCAAACACCTTGTAGCTCAACTCATGTTAACTACCTATTTATCATGGTTTAGGGAGTCTCTTAATATTTCTTAATGTTGGGGAACAGTTATCAAACTTGTAAAATCAAGATCCTGCGACATGTGGCCTAGGCAGATCCAAATGTTATGTCATGGCTGTATGATCTAATCTGCAAACAGAAGAACTGCGGGAATCCCAAGCATTACTAATTATACAAGCAGTGCTCCAGCACTATCAAGTGCTAGTGCAGCCTGTACCAGATTTTTTGTTCACTATGCCTCCATGTGGAAATAAAAATGTCCTCTCAAAGAACGAAACAAAAGAAAAAGAAAAAAGAGAGAAAGTTTAAATTTAAAGAAACAAAATTAATTCTCATTGCTAGATCAGGTAAGACTGAACCACCTGCACTATCAAAAAGAAACCTGTTTTTTTCCCCCCTGCACAGCAGAGATCAGATTGCACATTGACTTGGGTCAGACTTTAAATTTAGTTACCATCATGCTATGCTGCTGGTAACTCGCTTCCTGGTTGGAGGATTAGCTGAGAGCAGAACTCAGCTGCATGGTTACTGAGAGGTGCTAGGAATAAAAAAAAAAAACCAAAAACAAACATCCAAGCTATTTTAGTACAGTTTAAGGAGTGTTAATGTTTGGGCTCTGATTAAAAAAAAGCAACTGTAAAAACAATGACCTTTATCTAGTTTCTTCTAGAAAGAAGTGCCTCCTGCACACTGGAACTACTCCAGAAAAGCCACAGTAATTCTAGGCACTAACGGACCCACCAGTTTAAGGCACCCAGTCAAGACTGGGACAAAGTTTTTAGGAAGACACTTATTTTTCCTTTATCAACTCTACCATTGATTGATGTGAAAACAACCAGTAAGAAAGTCAATAAATAAAAAATGAAAAACAGAAGCCAATTATCATACCCACTATGCTCCCGCTTTACCCACTTGACACTGCAAGGGACTGGAAAGGGATCACTGAATGCAAAAGGGAGGATGATGGTCATAAACAGGTTGAGGCAAAGGTGAAAGATGGCAACTCACAGAAGCAGGTGATAACAACATTCTCTGTGGGTAACTTTAGTAATAAGGTCAGGAACAGGAAACTCTCAAATCTAGTTATTGTCCCCTCAGTTACACTGAATTAATTGTTAGCATAATCCCACTAACTCAGGGATACACAAATGCCAGCACAGCACATGGGAAAGGATGGGAACAAGAAGCAGAGATGTGCTTAATTCTTTTAATACAAAGACGAAATGATCAAATAGTAACCAGTCTTCATTTGATTTATTCAAAATCAAAACGCTCTACTTCATGACCCTTCTGACATGCACCTTGAAGGTACAAACAGCAAACCCAAAGATAGGAATCCTTTCCCTCCTGTGGCAACCTCCCCTCAACAGTCTTTAGCCATCTGTTTGCACGTCTTCCTTCCCTTCACCGGGTGAAAGAAGCAGACGGATTTGTACTAGTGAATCCACACATGCCCTGGCTCATCTGTGCAGCTGATCACCAGACAGGCACTCTGCTACATAAATTACACTGTTAAGTGCTTCTCCAAAGAACTCGAAGTTATCTTTGTTACAGAAGTAACCTCAGGTTGCACCTTTAGGAAGGGTGGGAGGAAGGCAGGGGGAAAGAAGGGTGGGGTTTTTGGTTGGTTGGGTTGTTTCCCCCCCCCCCCCCCCCCCCCCTGCTTCGCCTTTACTCTCTACTTCTT